CTTTTTTTTTAGTTTCTTCTTCTTAAAAATTTCTCGATTTTCTGCTTCTCTGATAGTTTTTGGAAGCCTATTCCAAACAAGTAGGGCAAAATATGAAAAAGAGCGTTGTCCATAATATGATTTGTAATGTATTTTAGGTTTAACAAGGGTTGTTTTGTCACTTGATGATCTGAGCGGTCCCGGAGACACATAGGGTGTTAAAAAACTGTTTTAAATAATTGTACCGTAGCAAGTTAAACAGATTTTATATATGATACGCTCTTTCACCGGGAGCCAGTGTAATTCTTTTAAAATAGGAGTCACATGATCATGCTTTAGTTTCTTAGTAATTATTTTGGCAGAAATATTTTGTACTCTTTGTAGTTGTTGTAACTGTTCATCAGGTACACCAGCCATCAGTAAGGAATTGCAATAATCAATCCTTGACAATATTTAGTGATGTTATTAAAGTTTTGGTGACACCAACAGATATATATTTTCTAATGCTCCTTATTTTCTTCAGCTGGAGATATAGATTTTTACAAAGATTGGATACATGGGATTTTATTGACATATCTTGATCTAGCACCACACCTACATTTTTTATTTTAGTTTGGGCTGATATTTCGTGGCCATTGATGTTTACACGGATATTGTCGATTTTATTGCATGCGCTGCTACGACGAAATAATATTTCGGTCTTATCCTCATTTAATTTTAATTTGTTCTTGAGCATCCATTTTCTTATATCATTGATACACCTGATACCATTCTTCACGAGAGGAATACCTGATACCTCCCAGCAGAACAGCCCAGGGATACTCCATCACCATTCTTCATGAGAGGGATACCTGATACCTCCCAGCAGAACAGCCCAGGGATACTCCATCACCATTCTCCATGAGAGGGATACCTGATACCTCCCAGCAGAACAGACCAGGGATACTCCATCACCATTCTTCCCACACGGCGAACCCAGGTCGTTTGCGTGCGTCAGCGGGGCGCTTTGTTTGTCTGTTCGTTTGTTTGTTTGTTTGTTTGTTGAAGGAGAGTTTTTGTTTGTTAATATAGGTACATATGTATGATGTGTAGGGCTAGAGTCAGTAGAAGAACATATAGGGCTAGAGTCAGTAGAAGAACACATAGGCTAGAGTCAGTAGAAGAACATATAGGGCTAGAGTCAGTAGAAGAACATATAGGGCTAGAGTCAGTAGAAGAACACATAGGCTAGAGTCAGTAGAAGAACATAAAGGCTAGAGTCAGTAGAAGAACATATATGCTAGAGTCAGTAGAAGAACATATAGGCTAGAGTCAGTAGAAGAACACATAGGCTAGAGTCAGTAGAAGAACATATAGGCTAGAGTCAGTAGAAGAACATATAGGCTAGAGTCAGTAGAAGAACATATAGGGCTAGAGTCAGTAGAAGAACACATAGGCTAGAGTCAGTAGAAGAACATAAAGGCTAGAGTCAGTAGAAGAACATATATGCTAAAGTCAGTAGAAGAACACATAGGCTAGAGTCAGTAGAAGAACACATAGGCTAGAGTCAGTAGAAGAACATATAGGCTAGAGTCAGTAGAAGAACATATAGGCTAGAGTCAGTAGAAGAACATATAGGCTAGAGTCAGTAGAAGAACATATAGGTATAGATCACGGGGGACACTACAAAAAGAACAAGAATAAGAAAAAGAACAAAAACAAGAACAAGGAAAACACACAAGAACCACATTATCACAATCATCACCACCAGCAACAACACAACACACAACAACAACAATGGTGATGATGTATAATAAATGTATTCATATAGCGCATTCTATTCATGCTGTGTGCGATAAAGCTGTGTTCAGTGTGTGTAACTGTGTTCAGATGGGTAACTACACTGTGTGTAGTGTGTAACTGTGTTCAGATGTGTAAAACTACAGTATGTGTAGTGTGTAAGTGCAACTACGGTGTGTGTAGTGCGTAGCTGTGTTCAGTGTGTGTAACTACGACGAGGTGTGTAGTGCGTAGCTGTGTTCAGTGTGTGTAACTACGATGTGTGTAGTGTGTAGCTGTGTTCAGTGTGTGTAGGCCTAACGTGTGACTGTGTCCATCAGACACCATTCTTTCTGGAGAGATTTTCTTTCCTTGGTGATCGATCCGTGGTGACTAACTGTTTCACGGGGGCGGGGGAGGGGGAGGGGCGGGGGGCGGGGATGAAGTGAGGGGGGGGGGGTGCGGTGATTCATGGTGGTAAAACTAAGACGTGGTCACAGCTTGCTGAGTCAGCGATACACACACACACATGATGCACACACACATACGCACAAATACACACACAGACATACAGACACACACAAACAGACTTGTTTTTTTCCTGTGCACGACAGATCATCTGGCAGAGTCAAGACTGGCCAGTTTGTCTCTCTCATCCCGTCAAGACTGGCCAGTTTGTCTCTCTCATCTCAAGACTGGCCAGTTTGTCTCTCTCATCTCGTCAAGACTGGCCAGTTTGTCTCTCTCATCTCAAGACTAGCCAGTTTGTCTCTCTCATCTCAAGACTGGCCAGTTTGTCTCTGTCATCTCGTCAAGACTGGCCAGTTTGTCTCTGTCATCTCGTCAAGACTGGCCAATTTGTCTCTGTCATCTCAAGACTGGCCAGTTTGTCTCTGTCATCTCGTCAAGACTGGCCAGTTTGTCTCTGTCATCTCGTCAAGACTGGCCAATTTGTCTCTCTCATCTCGTCAAGACTGGCCAGTTTGTCTCTCTCATCTCAAGACTAGCCAGTTTGTCTCTCTCATCTCAAGACTGGCCAGTTTGTCTCTGTCATCTCAAGACTGGCCAGTTTGTCTCTCGTCTCTAGCTGTCCCACATTAGTCTAAATGGTCATCCGTGCTGTATTCTTATACCGCCGACTTTCTGCTCGTCCCGAGGTCAAATAGACGGTGACTGTGACTGTGACTGTGACGGTGTCTGTGTCTGTGACTGTGACTGACTGTGGTGACTGTGACTGTGTCTGTGACGACTGTGACTGTGACTGTGGTGACTGTGTCTGTGACGGCGACTGTGTCTGTGACGACTGTGACTGTGGTGACTGTGACTGTGTCTGTGTCTGTGACTGACTGTGGTGACTGTGACGACTGTGACTGTGACTGTGTCTGTGACTGTGACTGTGTCTGTGACTGTGGTGACTGTGACTGTGTCTGTGGTGACTGTGACTGTGACGACTGTGTCTGTGACTGACTGTGGTGACTGTGACTGTGACTGTGACGACTGTGTCTGTGACTGTGGTGACTGTGTCTGTGACGACTGTGACTGTGTCTGTGACGACTGTGACTGTGGTGACTGTGACTGTGGTGACTGTGGTGACTGTGACTGTGTCTGTGACTGTGGTGACTGTGTCTGTGGTGACTGTGACTGTGACTGTGGTGACTGTGACGGTGACGGTGACTGTGAGGCACCATGCTGAGATCCGGAGCTCGCAAAAATAATGAAAAAGAAATCAAAGAATTTATTTTTGGGCCGATGGGAAATTTTTTTCTTTCTATATTTTTTTGGCTCAACACCTTTTATTATGTCCATTAAAAAACACATTTCCGTGTGGATTTTACTGAAAAACATCGATGAAAGGCAAAAAATTGTAATTTTTCAGTTTCCAAGGACTCTCAGGCTACGGCAGTATTAGTGAGAAAATAGCAGCTAAATTTGGTAACTATGATAATAACTGTTACCAAATGTAGCTGTTATTTTCTCACTAATTTTACCTCTTAAACCAGGCGACCCTGACCTCTTTCAATGGCAAATATTTCGACTAAAAGGAATAATTTTCCGCCAAAAGAAAGGCAAGTGAACAGGCTATCAGACGACACCAATAACCCATGTGTCCACTGTCACAACAGGCTATCAGACGACACCAATACCCCATGTGTCCAGTGACACAACAGGCTATCAGACGACACCAATAACCCATGTGTCCACTGTCACAACAGGCTATCAGACGACACCAATACCCCATGTGTCCAGTGACACAACAGGCTATCAGACGACACCAATAACCCATGTGTCCACTGTCACAA